CTCCAGGCCTCTGGGCAGCGTGGGAAGGTGGAAAGGCGGCTCCAGGCCAGAACGAAGGCAGTGCTGGCAGCCAGGAGAAGGAAAGCCCATTCTTGCACAAATCTTTGTGCATTGGGCCTCTAGTCTATACTAATAAAAGGGTAATATGCTAATTAGACCGGATAGACCAGATGTCTTCTGGATGTCCTTCCTGACACAGCTGGGGGCATGGCCAGCCTGCACACTGCATGTGACCCCTCGTTCAGGCCAGCCCTGCCCCAAGTGGGGACCCCCACCCTGATTGGGGGCAGAGCCGGCCTGCAAACCCTGCAGCCCCTCGCCCTGGCCAGCCCCATCCCCCAGCAGAGAACCCCTCCGTCCCTATCCGGGGCCCCCTTCAGGGCAGGCCAGCCGGTCCCCACCTGTGCACCAGGCCTCTATCCTATATAATAGAAGGGTAATAAGCAAATTGACCCTAACAGCAGAATGACAAGAACGAGCTGGACCAGTCACTACTGACCACCTCTTGGTCCCTTCCCCTGGCCATCAGGCACCGATCACCCAATGGCGAACGGGAAACTGGGGGTAGATGATGGCGGGGGGTGGGGCTGGCTGTGGGCAGCTGGGGAAGATGGCCCTGATCGCAGGCCAGGCTTAGGGACCGTCCCCACGCATGAATTTTGTGCGCCGGGCCTCTATTATACAGCTTTGGTATTTAAGACAGGGTGATACTACCCAGCCAGTGTGGCTCAATGATGGAGTGTCAAGCTATGAACCAGGAGGTCACAGTTCGATTCCTGGTCAGGGCACATGCCTTGGTTTCAAGCTTGATCCTGGTGTGCAGTGTGCAGGAGGCAGCTGATCGATGATTCTCTCTCATCACTGATGTTTTTATCTCTCTCTCCTTCTCCCTCTCTAAAATCAATAAAAATATCTACTTATATAAAAACCCTGGGTGGTGTAGCATCACGACCGGTCTGGCGACCAAGCGGAAGGAAGTCAGTCCTGCAGGGGTTGTCTTGGAAACGGCTGCACCCTCCCCCGAGCTGTTTCCTGGAGTTGTTTCCAGTGAGGGCGGGGTTTGAGGCAGGAACCCGCCCTTGGAGTGTGGAGGCACATCTTTATAAAGTGTGCCGTGCCAGCACAGCCAAGGATGAACTTGAGTGGGGACGGCTGAAAGGCTTAGAAAAGACAGACAAGAGCATGAAAGCCGGGTCTCGGTGGGACGCTGCTTCTCTGAGAGACAGCAACCACGCCCACAGCCATGTCTTTATTTTATAGCAGATGGCACGAGGCAAAGTAAGGGCGTGACCAAGATGTTTACAATATTCTCCTGGGTTTCAATCCTACTCAACTACATGCACCTGAACTCTTATCAAGCCTACATCACTCAGGCACATGGGGCCACATGTTC